TAAGAATATTATTTGAATGCAACATATAATTTTTAGTATAAATTTAAATAATTATCACATGTAAATTTTTTTTATAATCCACTGTTGCTTATAATATTAAATGTACAATGTGGAATGCATAATATGTAATTGCATAGTTCATTTTATAATAATGTTTTAGTATAATGTTTGTTAAGTAAACACCACTCACATATATGAGATTAGAAAATCTAAGATAGGCACTTTTGTCCTTTCAGATTTACATTGGAATGGAAATATACATATACGAGAGGATCGACTAATTTTTGTAGTATAGATTGAGCATCCGATAACATTCAAAAAGACAAGGCGTAATAAATGGAGTACTACATTGAATTGTATAATCGTGAAAGATTTCTGGTTATGTTATTAACAGTTTATTCTAAAGTGTACATTGTAAAAAGAAGTTTACGACATTGAGAAACAGTTTAACTGTTCTCTATTCTTTGAATTACTACATTGAAACGCGTAATATTCTTTTCCGTTTGTTAGAAAAATCTCCTGATTCGTTTAAAGAATGTGTTCTCTAACTTGGTTGAGTATATATATATACATATTCATTTATAACATGACACAGTCTGCATCTTAAGCATATGATGTGCGTTACTATTTCAAATTATAGATTTCTTTATTAATAGATTTTAACTATTTATCAATCAGTAAATATTTCTATATTGGATATAAATAAATTAAAAAATTGATACGAAATCATAGCCTATATAAAATTGTAATATGTAACATTCTTAATTTACAAAAATTTATCGTTATACAACCACGTAAAAATATAATAAATAACAAAAATTAGAAAATATTTAATTTTTTTCACATATAGCATTAACAAATGTTAAAAAGGTTCTTATGTGAGATAAAGTTATTTTAGTAACTATATAAAATAATAATTTGTTATAGTGATTATTACTGCATAAATAATATAGAAATTCAGTAGCGATATAATCATTACATCGCAATAATTATACATACTGTTTAGTGTAATGCTGTCTCTGCATAATATCAAAGAAGTCAAATGCAAATATTGCGCTTAAGATCAATAATAAAAAATATATTTCAATGTACTTCGTTCAAATTAATACGATCAAATAAATTAATATGTTGATAAGATAATAAATCAGTAACCAATATTCAAGTATTGTAATATAGCAATTCTTCTGTGATTTTAAAAGATCAAATTTAGCAATACAGTATGTAAGTGCAATACTGTTGTAAATATAGGTATATACGTATAGCAAATGTGCAGTTACCTTTAGAGATTCATACAAGACGCATACATCTACATGCAACAGACACAGACAGGCATTTATACGCACATACACAAAAGAGATCTCATAGTATTAAATGACTTAGGCTATTAAATGATTAAATTCGCTATGAAGAAAACTTCTGGCTAATATAGCCTGTGTTTACAATGCTCTATTAAAGTGAAAAGGTACTTAACTAAAGGCAGGTACAAAAGGAGATATCAAGTCCCCAAACAATTCAACCATAGGCAGTCCTGATAAGTAGATCTTTGAGAAGTAATGATTGTTTCTTTTAATTATTGATACTGATGGTAGAATATTTGCCAACCACCCAAATATTATAAATCCGGGGTGACTGGAGTAGGGCAGATAATTATTCTGATCATTGGTGTATGAACTGAATAATTAAGATACCTGAGCATTTGAAAGCCTGGTGCAATATTATGATAAGGGATATGATACGAGTAGACAACGGAAGTTACACAGATACTGCTAGAAATATACAGAATTATTGAACTATGTATTAATAAATTATTTTATACACGATTACAAGTTTTCTTTAACTTTAGTTTATCTACTCGGATTAAATCCTACGTTACAAAGTTTTGACTTTTCAAATACTGAGCTATCGATAATATCAGTATCATCATACAGTTGAAATCAGTTGACCGCTCAAGACTACTCTTTTATCTTTCAAGCACGACAAACATGTCTTTTACTTTCATTGCAAGCTTATATACTTATTTTAAATTGTGTCTATAGATTTGCATGCAAAGATGAAAAGTAGAAGACAGTGCAGTCGATATAGGGTATGTGATAATAATCATACAGTGGCAGAGAGCGGTTAACTAATTTTAGTGATAGTAATAATCAGTAGTAATTGTATTTCTATTAGAAAACTTATTTATAAAGTATTATTATAACAGATTTAGTTTATACTTGATGATCATGCTATGTAAAAGAATCATGTAGATGCGATATTTAATTTAATAAAGAGTTACACCAACCCCTTTTTTCATGAATGGTATTTCTCACACATTATAGCACTGAAATTATAATACATTTTAGAAATTTGCTTTCTCTTTTTTCTTTTCTCATTAAATTTGTACGTCGTATTTTTATTGCCATCGGCGGGTATTTCATACACGTTTTCAAGATTTTTTAATCATTATTATTATCTTCACCGCTATTGCCTTAATTATGTGTTTGTTATGTATGACTGTATTGATTAAGTCTCACTTTCATATAATTATGTTATGTTAAATCCATGTTTCTGAGTACCTTTTAATTTTTTAAGAAGTTAGATGTAGTTACTGGTTTTACTAATAAGTATAAAAAATT